TCCTCACATCTTACTCCTTGACCCCTTGTTCCCATGCCTGCCTTCCTCTCCCCCTGCTCCCCAAACACTGACTGCCATAAGGACCCTCTTTCTCTCTGAAAAAACTGCCTAGCAGTATCAAGTCTCAGGACAGATCGCAGTGGAATATATATTTTTTTTTTTAAATGTGCTCTTCTGGATGGAAGCCCTTTGAGACAGACACCACACCTGCCTTTGGTGCCACATGTGACACCAAACGTGCTGCTAGCACCAGTTAGTAAAGGTCAGTGCTTAACTCTAGACTAGAGACAACCTGACCAATGTGGTGTACATTGGGCAGACTAAGAAATTGGATCACACTGGAGTAGATTGGGTGGATAAAAAGAAGCTTCTTAGATGTGAAAAACATACCAACAGGCTGCTGAACACCTGTGAGGAGCCCTGGGCTGGGAGCAGCTGGTGTCTCACATCTTCAAGCCCTCAGCCCTGCAGTTGGTTTAGGTAATCTGCCAGGCTGGCACACCTGCAAAGCCACCCTGTACAAACATTTTGGTTAAGGATTATTTTTTCCCTGTCTTTTAGTAATTTATTTTTGGAGGTAAATCTTTCTCACCATGATTTATATGGTGTGTGGCTCCCCTCCCGCTGAAGCACACCACTGCTCCTGACCTACTCTGTCAGTCCCTGTACAATGGCACAAACAGGATTACTTGTGAGGCTTTAAAAAAAACACAAGAGCAGTGCAGTACGTCTGTGCAGGACGAAAAAGCCTGCAGTAAATGAAGCTTCACTGAAGCAAGGAATGGCCCCTCCGTGCTGCAGGAATGGTTCCTCTTTATGCAGTTCCTCTCTCAGCTCCACACTGGCTGCTTTTCCTCTTCCTTCTCTATGTTATTTAGCTTTGCCCTCTGGCCTCTGGCTGCCTTGTTTATTGCTGCAGTATTCCAGGACAGGTAAAAAAAAACAAAAACAAAAACACAACAGATTGATGCTCATGTGACTGCTCCAGTTTCAGGGGGAAGGTATGTGAGGGCAGCCATGTGCTCACACGATCTAGTTACAGTTTTATGTTGGGGTTATAGCAACTGGGATATGTTTTCCAGCTGTAAAATGAAAACCCCCTGCCTGCTTTTAGTCACAACAACAAGTGTGTTTTGCTTTTTAGGACTGTCATGCTTCCTGGAGTTAGTTAAACCGTCCCCTCCCTCTGTTGATAAACACAGCAAGGCTGAGCCAAGCCTGTTTCTGTTACTAGTTATGGATAAGTTACAGGAAAACAGTGTTTGGGATCAACTCGTGCAGCTTGTGAATCAACAGCTGTAATTTTATACCAGAACCTGGAAAGCTGCTGGGAGGCTCCTAGTCCAAGGCTGGTGTGGGCACAAGTTGTCCAGCCCCGAGGCTGCCCCCAGACCTGCACTGTGGTTGACACACCAAATGCCTTGGACTGCCATGGGCTGTCCTTCCCAGCACTGGGAATGTTGCCCAGGAAGGTCAAGAGGTGGCTGTGGGCTCTAGGAAAGGACACGAGTGCCTGTTCTCTGACCCTGCTTCTAGCACCTCGTGCAGGCTGTAAGACTGGAGGAAGTGTGAGATGGGAAGTAAGTACAGCAGACCTCTCCCAGTGGTGCTTGACATCTGTTTTGATTCTCAACTCTGTGCTGGGCAAGTTTGGTTTGCTCATGTATGAGGGTAGTTTTGACTTTCAAAATCAGATGTGCTGCAGAGAGCTGGGTTTGAGCACTGAAGTGTCCTCAGAAAACATCAACTCCCTAGGCTGTATGAAGCAGAGATGTGGGAAGTCTTTAACATCTGATACAGAGCCCCATCAAGAACCTGCCTGAGGGACAAGCCTGTTTCTGCTGCCAGTATCAAACTGTGCTCCAAAACCCATTAGAAAGAGAGAGCATGTCCACCCCAGCACAGTGTCTTTGGCCTCTGGTCGTGACCCTCCTCTCCTGTGAAAGGACTTTGTTCTGCCCTGTGTGTCACTGATTATGGGGTTGGAAAGCTAAACATGTGATGGATTATTTCCTTAGCTGTTGGGCACCCACAACTAAACTGGTACATGACAATTAGCTCAAGAGCATCTGTTAATTAACTTACTGCAGCTACTGGATGTGTCTGGGAGTGCCTGCTCACCCTAGCAAGGTTCTGAGGGGTTTTGCAAGGTCTCCTGCAGCTCCAAGGTTTCTGTGGTTTCTGTGTTCCTCCTAGGGGCAATGGGTGGAAGCACATCTCTGTGGCCGTGGCCACTCGGCAAACCCCTGTGGCCTGGGCTAGCTGAGGGGTTTCACGGCAAGAAGTTGCCTCTGGTGCTCTCTGTAAACCCAGGTGCATGGGCTGGGGGTTTTGCAGGTGCAGATGAGGAAGGTAATGCAATGCCACTGGCAGTTGCTTGGCCTTTTGACTGCTCAGACCTTCCTAATGGGGCTTTCCAAGAGCTGGAGAACTCATAAGCTTCCTTCCTGTGGAGAGTGGGTGGTGGTTTGGGCTGTTTGTTTACTGTTGAGGATGTCTTCTGTGTTTTACACACACCCACAGCCACTCACCCCACCCTGCCCCTTGTTTAGCAGAGCATTGATGACTGAAGCTACTCTACGGAGGAGCTACAAGGGAAATTTGACTTTGCTCAGTGTCCACCACTTGCTTGTGTCCAGGATGAGGGATCCTGTCCCTTCTGGTCCCTGCTCAGCTGCTAGCAGATGGAAGAGGGCTTGCTGGCTGAGAAAGGATCAAATTCTGTCATTGATTAAACACGCTGCATTTGTTGAGCGTACTGATCCAACACTGCTGGGGAATAGGTGTGTGTATGTGTAGCAGAATGGTGCTGTGGGATTTACCTCCTGGAAAGTGACTTGTTATAGGACCAACTTGTCCAGCAGCAGGTTTGGCTCTGAACTGTTCAGGTGAAGCTGCAGTTGTGGTCAGTGACTCCAGTATCTGGCACAGTTTTTCATGCAGGTTGTACCTTCTTACTGCAGGGTGGGTCTGGTTCTGGTGTGTGAAAACTACTCAGTGTTTTGGTTTGCTTTTCTTCCCCTCAGCAAACAGCGGCACAACAAGCTATGGCGCTCGCACTCCGACAGTGACCTCTCAGACCACCACGAGCCCATCTGCAAGTCAGGGCTGGAGCTGAACAAAAAGGAGATCACCACCTCAGCAGACCAGATCTCGGAGGCAAAGACCAACGACAACCAGCAGCCAATGTCTCCCATTTATTCAGCTGAGCTGGACAGGGAGCAGCAGCTTCCAGAGGATGCAAACATGATTGAGGACATGTGTGTGAAAGAGAGAAGGATCCACTTAGAGTTTACAAGCCGAGACTTCCATGCTGAGCAGATGGAGGACAAGCTGAACCTGAACAATATCAATGGCTGTACAGCAGGGTGTTGTGTAGACTCTGTCCCCCCTGATAACTGCCATGCTTCTGAGGCCTTAATGCAGCTCCAGCACCCCTTGGAAATAGCAGAGTTTCCTGATTTAGCAGTGGATGATCTAGAAAAAGATGCCCTTAAGCCTGATATGAACGTGCACTTGGTTCCTATGGAAGAATTCACTTCATGCTTAAAAGACTTTCCCCAATCCCCAAACCAAAATTCCCCGAGTCTCCAACAGAATCCTCAGCCCGAAGGGACAGACCTCAGTACAGACAGGATTGATTTCTTCAGTGCTTTGGAGAAATTCGTGGAGCTTTCCCAGGAGAGCCGGTCACGCACCTGCTCCCACTCCAGGCCGGAGGAGCAGGGCAGTGGAAGGAATGGTGTCTCCAGGGTGCCCATGCTGGAAGTGCCGCCTGCTGCGGATGGGGGTGCAGATGCTCGAAGGAACAGCCCTGGAAATTCTCCTCAGGCATCAGATGACTCTTCCACAGATGAAGAGCAACAAAAGGTTAAAATAACTTAATTGGTTTTTTTAGGAGCTGCTGCTCAAACCTATCCATGGGCAGTTCTCCTGCTGTGGGGTGGCTGTGGATGGGATTTTCTAGCCCTGCTTTCACTGGACAGAGTGGCTGTTTGGGGAGGGATTGCTAGATCCTTGCCCTTTTCTGCACTTTTTCCTTAAACATCAGTCTGCTGGCACTGGCAGGGCACTGACTGAGCCGACCTTGACCTGACCTGCTGTGCTGTTCTCATGAGAAACTTATTTTTGAGCTTTACATCAGGAGAGCAGAAAGGTGGAACTTGACCCACTAGTGTAGCACAGCCAAGCCCAGCCAGCATCCCAAACCTGCACAGATATTTGTCTGACTTGAGAAACTCACCAAAGAATGAGGCTAAACTGGCATTTTCCTTGGTTGGAAAGCACCAGCATTGGGGTAGTAAATCAAGGCAGGTGTAGAGCTTCCACTGCTGGAGGAAGAAATGAGCCTGTCCAGGTCTTGAGTGATGGGATTGGCCACATCATGGCTCACTTCCCTCCTGGGTAGAGAGATGGTCCTGACAAAATTTAGTAACCTCTAAATTTAGGTACCTTTCTCTTGTAATTGCTTTCTGTCCTCCAGGACTTTCACAGGGATTGATGATGTCCGGGGCCATGATTTTCTGGGAGCCTCTGTTATTTAAATTCCATGCTGCATTGCTTGAATCTTTTCCATCTCCATGTGAGGCAATAAGGCTCTTCCAAATATAATAGGCCAATGCTGTCTCCAGTGATTTGGCAGAGAGTGTCTGTGGGCATGGGGAGCCTCTCTGGCCATTTTCCTCCGGGAAACCAGAGCGCTTCAGCGCTAGGTCATTCTTTTTGCTGTACTTCTGTTTGCTCTGTACGTGAGCAGAATCTGTTGTTTTCAGTTCAAAATGGCACTTTCAGCAGCATTAGGATTGTTTTTGTTAACTGGACTTGTCTTATTTAAAAAAGAAAAGCTAAATTTGCCTTGAAGTTCGTGGCAATTAAATTGAAGTTTTTAAATCTCAGTCTAAGTGAGAATCCAGCCTGGAATATGGTAAATTCAGTCCCAAGACACTAATGCATCTGCATTAGTGATCACAGCTCTTGTGATCTATCTCTACATGCTGGCACATGCCTTTTTTGTTCCTTTGGGGATGTGCATCCCTATTTCCTTTAAGCTGCTGCTGTTTGCTCTGTGTCAGCACAGCCAATCCACTTTGTAATTCTCCTGTTTGTGTGTTGCAGGAGGTTCCTGAGCTGCCTAGTGCAGGTCATCTCACGAGATCCCACTCAGAAAATGCCATTTCTGTGAAGGAAATTGTCACAGAGATCGAGTCAATCAACCAGGGAGCAGGACCTGCCCAGCAGAAAGAGGGTTCAGCCAACCTCAGCCAGACACCAAAGAGGAACACAGTGCATGACCTGCCAGTCGAGGCGATTTGGGCATCAGAAAGGGTGGAACAGAGTGAAGGAGCCTGTGCTGGACACCCGGAAAAGGAGAAGGACCCTCTGCCAGCTGAGCAAGAAGCTGCCCCCTCCCTGCAGCCACCTTCTGGCAAATCAGACCCAGAGGAAAGCAGCTCTGGTGGGGAGCAGCAAGAGCCCCGTGGCCCCGTAAACCGTGAGCCCAAGTGGTGCCCTGGCTCTGTCCGGAGAGCCACCCTGGAGTTTGAGGAACGCCTGAGACAGGAGCAGGAGCACCAGCACACGACCCCAGTCTGCACCTTACCCACCCGCAAGAACTCCAGGAACGACTCTCCCGCCGCCGAGCTCCTGCCGCGGGGGAAGAGCGAGGAGCCACCCCTGGAGCTGGCTCTGGAGAGTGACAAGGTGCAAAGTCTGGGTGCTGAGGAGCCACTGCTGCCTCCTGGGACAGAGCTGCCTGCAGGCAGACACCTGCCTGCACCCCCTGCACAGGAGGCACTGCCTGCAGAGCCCAGCCCAGGGCAGGAGGGAGCGGCGCAGGAGCACAGGACAGTGGTCTCGTTTGATGGGACGGAGGAGCCATTCCTGCCCTCCCTTCTCCCAAAGAGAATCGAAATTATCGAATACACTCCCATGGTCAAGTCTGCAGAGCAGCACCCTGACACAAGCTGTGAGCAGGGCGGGCTGGCTGTGGCCATCTCGTCTTTAGATGAAAACTTGAACCCTTCGGTGTGCTTGGAGAAGGCTCCAACCTGTCTTGGAGCTCTGGCGGATCTCTTGCCACCGGAGCACGCGGTACGCAAGCAAACCACCTTCACCGTGGGCAGCCCCAGCGACGAGGGCAGTGGGTTACCTGCTCACCCTTGTGGTGCTTCTCCCTCTGCCCAGGTGACCTCTACATCTTCAGCCAACCTCGATCGCTCTCCTTACCCCTACATAATCCACGTGGAAGGTGTCACCGAGCAGAGCACGGGTACAGACGATGAGCCAGTCATGCCATGTGGCACTGAGGGAGATGTGACTCTCCCATTCAGGGATGGACCCAAACCTCTCTGCGGCAGCAGTGCTGGCATCTCAAGGCAGCTGAGCAGTGAGGTGCTCACCAGCCAACAAGCTGAAAACATGGACCTTCTGGACATCTCGTTCCTGTGTTACCACCTCCCACACAGCTCCAGCAGCCGCAGCGTGGACGAGCGCAGCAGCAGCCCTGGGCTGGTCAAGCAGCGAGCGAAGGAAATAGAGGCTCGGATCAGGCACGCAGGGCTCACCACACCCTCCCACATGAAACGCTCAGCATCCTTGGCCAAACTGGACTGCCTGGACCTCTCCAAGGACGACTTATGTGAGAGGGAGTCAGCCTCTTGTGATGCCAACCCGGTGCTTCTCACCTGCGTTGCCCTTGGTCGAGGCTTTTGTGGGGGGAGGTTGGAGAGGGGCTCAGAAAGCACGTGTGGAAAGCATCGCCTTTCCTCCCCGGAGCCTGCTAAGCATTTTGTGGAACAGCTCAGAACAGCTGAGTGCATTGCGCAGAGCAAGCCGGTGGAGCGGCCGCTGGCTCAGTACGCCAAAGAGTGCGGCTCCAGCCAGCAGAGCTTGTGTTCCAGCACAGATCCCACATGGACTAGCTCCGAGGAAGGTCCTCTTCTGCTCCAGGTGCAGGTCCTGGACTCATCTCCTGCTCAAGGTCTGGCTGTCACACCTCGGCAGCAGCACGGGAGAACTCACCCTCTGAGGAGGCTCAAAAAGACCAATGACAAAAAGCGGACAACCAATCCCCTCTACAACACGATGTGATCCTGAGCCCTTGGCTGTGATTTCTAACCCAGAACCCAGGGTGTTGCTTTCACACAAGGGGCAGGTGTAATATAAGGAACATGCACTTTATTGGTTAATTTTATATATATTGTCATTTTACTGTTCCTGGCGCATGTAGGTGTGGGTTGGTTCTTCTGTGTGTGGCTCTGACTGCAGGACTGTTTGGGTTTTTTTAAGTTTTTTAACTCAGATAACCTCAAATGTTCTTTTTTTGTTGTTGTTAGTTTGTTTTAAAGGAACACCTTTATCATGAGAAAATTGATGTTGGCTTGCTTTGGCAAGGTGGAGTTTTGCTTAGAACCAGATCCTAGTTCCTAACTTGAATTTTCCCCATGCCTTGAAATGGTGCTGGGCAGTTGGTGGGGTGAGAGCCCCTGTAAATGTGAAGGCTGTGCCAAGGTCCTTTTGTTTGGCCTTTATTTCTGCAAACTGGAACTCCACCATGCTGGCAGATCCCTCACAAAGCTGCTTCAGGACAAACCTCCCAGGCTCAGTTTGGCCGGTGCATTCCCAGAGGAGCACAAGGAGGTGAATCCTCCCAGTGGATGAGCTCTGGTAACCCTGGGCAGCACCAAGACCAGCACCTCGTGGTGAGGTGGAGAACAGCTCCACGAGCTGCCAAGCTCACCTCTACCCCCAAAGCCAGAGTGTTCTTTTAAAACAAACACCTCATTAGGGTTTTAACCCTCCCATTACTTGAATACTGCTGTGGGCCTTCCAAGTTCATGGCCATATCACCTGTCCTCTGCCCTCCTGCTGCCTCCACTCTGCCCAAAAGCTGTTCTCGTGCTGCCTGAGTTTTCCTCTCCCCTCTGCTGCGCTCACAGGCATTTCTGATCATTCTCAAACCTCGAGCTGTTATCATTGTTACATGACATACTGCCCTTAATGCAATGCTTTGTCCTCTCTGCTGTCAGTCCTAACACTCGACCCAGAGGGAAAATCTTTTCTGGAAGTTTTTCCTTTTTTTTTTTTTTTTTTTTTTTGCCTAAATTGTATATATGGTATTTATAGAGAATTTTTTTGTTGTTTCTATGGGGTTTTCTTTTTTTAAAAAAAAAAAAAAAAGGGCAAGACTGCATTTCTGTAAACTGGAAAACAAGCCCACCTGACTCAAACTCAGTGCTGTTTGTTGTGGTCTGCACAGACAGGGGAGTGAATTTGACATTGGAAGCTGTCTTCCCTTTCCAAGTGAGCCTCCATGCCAGCCTTTGCCAAATGTGTCCCTTCTCCTCCAGTCCTGCCTGAACCCCTGTTACCCCCTGCAGGAGGGGCACTGTGTATCTGCCTGTCTCCCTCCCACTTGGAGCTGGGTTCCAGAAGTGCCAGTCAGATGTGGAAAGCTGTTGGCCACTCCGAGCTGTTCTGCAAGTTCTTGCTTCCCCAGAGAATCTGTGTTTGGAGGGTCTGCTCCAAATTTCAGCAAATTATTATGTGGTTTCTGAGCAGTTTGGCTGAATCAAAGCTCCTCATTTCCAGCTGTGTGTATCAGCAAGTTGTCCCTGTGCTGTAGGAGCAGAGGGAAAAAGCCATGGCAGGGGAGCTCTGGGTCCTGTCCACAGTCCTGTGGCAGGTCCTGTCTGAGCTGGTGCTTGGCTCAGGCCCAGACCTGCCCTCTGGGGAGGAGTGAAGCGCAGAGAAGATGCAGAATGGCTCCAGCTGCTGAAGCCCAGCATGGAGAGGACATGGTGTGGGAGGAGCAACAGCCAAGGCCGTGCCTAGAAAGCAGTTCTGATGCTGCAGAGCCTTGCATACTCTGATGGGACAAACTCATCTCAAGCTGGAGAGGAGTGCATGGCACTGCAGCACTGTGGAGTATTGGGAAGCAGCATGTGCCTGCCCTGGGGAAGGGGTGTCTGTGACCCCCAGCTTGCCTGCAGCTGGTGACAGAGGATGGCCTAGCAGTCGGCAAGGTAATCCCACTTTGCTGCCTTCCTGTAGCTCCCAGGGAGTCTCTGGCGCTGCCTTGCAGCCTGGGAACAGGTCTGTGAGTCTGTGCTCCAGCAGCCAGGAGCACTGTCCCTCCCTTTCCAAGGAGCTTGAGGTCTAGGGGGGTTGCTGCCTGTGCTTGCTGTGGGCTGGAGCACAGCCCTGTCTTGGGTCAAGCAGCACGTCAGCCCAGGCCATTTCAGTCACTAGAAGTCACCCAAGCCACTGGCCCGAGAGACCAGATACTTCTTCGGGACGCTGAAAGACATGTGGCTTCTCCTAGTCTGCTCCAGCTGGCTCCAGAGCTGGGCAGACACTGTGGAAAGGCCAGTTGGCTCATGCCATCTCCTGAAGGACAGATTCAGTCCCCAGGCCCCACTGCCCACCCTTCCTGCCCCAAGGGCATGCCTGCCTGCCCCTCCACGGGCAGGAGGGATGGATTGTCACCAAGCCTGCCCTGCGTTGGTGGGAGAATGCTTGGCTGGCAGCGTGTCCTGGTGAGAGGGATCTGCTGGGGAGGGGAAAGCCCTGTGTATTTGTTCCCTTGAGAAGGCAGGAGGAGGAGGAAGAGGATCAGGTTTCTTTGCCCAGCTTGATCTCAGGAGAAATGCCCTCTAGGAAGGGTCTTCCATGCAGCCCAGAAATGCTGCTTCCTTCCAATACTCAGCTGCTCTTCAGGTGCTTCAACAGGGGAGAGCAGTGAAGAGGCAGAGGTCCCCGCAGGGTGGTGCTTTGCTGTCCCCTTGTCCTTGGTTCTGGCCCAGCACAACTGTTTTTTTCTCTGGAAAGGTTGTGGACAGGCAGAGGGAGTCAGGGAGGGTGGTTCTCTTGCAGAGTGATGAAGGCCTTGGAGGTCTGGAGGCTCTGAGTGGAATGGCAGGAAGGGGATGGACTGGAGAGGCCTGGATCCTCCTCGGCCAGTGTCTGGGCAATGAAGCCACAAAAAGCATCAGAGCTCTCTGCCTGGGGACAGTTGTCCCTTCTCCATGCTGGTGGCTCCTGTGGGAGGGTGGTGACTCGCTCCTGGTTCCTGTGCCCACCCCACGAGAGCTCCTTGTGACCCGCTGAGCACCACAGGGAGCAGCATCTCCAGGGTGCTCAGCAGTTGACAAGCCTCACGGATCGAGAGGAGTTTTGGGAGAAATGTGTTGTTTTAAGGGCATTTTTGTACAAAGCAACCGTTCTTTGGTCTCTGGCGAAGCCTCTCCGAGGACGCTTTATTGTTTACATTGACTCCTGTACAATATCCCAGCCATCGCCTCCCGTCTCGGCCGTACTGTAACGTGTGAGCCTTGCACAAACGGATTGCGTGTGCGTGAAACTGGTTTTTACACTGCGTTCTGTTGCACTCGATGGTGTGTGTGTGTGTGTGCGTGCGTGTCTGGTCTGCTTGAGAAGTTGTGACATGTACAAATCTCTCCCCTTTCGGCCCTTTCCTGGGGGCACGGTCCCAGCGGGTGGCAGGAGGTGACTCTGCTTCTGGGGCACTTGGATGCTAAACGGAGCAGGGTTCAGTTCCGTGTCCCTCTGCCAGCCAAGGCCTGGTGGAAGGGAACCCGCCCCAGCTCCGGCTGCTCCGGG